GTTATGTTTATTTTTATACTTATTTTTGCCCAAAATCTGTAGTTGTCCAGATTCAAAATACAAGCAGTCTTGACTCAAGTACTTTCTAAAATAAAGACTAACCAGTATTTAAAAAAAAAAACCAAAAAACAAAACAAACAAAAAGAACCGAAATAAAAGCACACTGGAAAAAATGAAACAGAAAGGAGTCAATGTAGAACATTGCTCAGAAGTGAGATTTTGCACTTATATGCCATGTCCACATGTGCGTGGATGTTTGGTTCCTTGGGGACAAGTAGCAGCGGTGCCCTTTGTGCCGCCACTGGTTGTCCCTGGGGAACGCCTGTGCCATGTGCCCTCTGGCCCACAGCAAGTTACCCTGGGTGGTATAGGGGACGCTGGGGTCAGCACTGTGCTGGGCCCAGCAGCCTCACCTGGGGTCCTGGGGACCTCCCAGGGCTGCAGCAGCAGCAATCCTGCTGCGCAGAGCCTGGTCATCAGAGGAACATGGCTCTGGCCAGCCGAAATTCAGTTCTGAACAGCACATGCTGCCCCTGTGTGCACTGCTCCGCTTTTTTTTCCCTGCAGGTTTTTTTTGACAAGTCTGCAGCACCACGTACCGCATGGAGCGCTCATCTGGACGTGGCCACATAGTCTATACATAGCATTACCTGTTAGAATAGCTTCTCCCCTCCATCTCTTGATGCAAATGGCAAAATTAAAGTACATAATTTTCAAAACTGCTCAGTCTTGAGCTCATTCTGTTCCCAATGAATTCAGTGAAGCTTTACTGTTGACTTCAAAGGCAAAGCTGAACACTTTTAAAGTCTTACCCTAAATATATGTTCATACCTTAAAATTTTATATAGGAAAACTGCAGCCATGAAAAGATCTGCTAAAACAGGATCTCACTTCCTTTGTAAACAAATAAAAAGGAAGATAAAATCTGTTGCTATGTTATGGAATAGTTCTATTAACAAGTTTTCTTCTACTCAGAGAGAGAAGCGGGCTGGAAATTATCTTCACTTAAAGGTTGACATCTGCATAAAGAGGCAGTAAAATTTAAAATAACTTCAGAAGCAAGAAAGACTAGGGGCTTTTAGAAAATTATTCTGAAACCAGTTACAGGGGGAGAAAAGGTAACAATTTGCCAGAGACTTCCATGAGTGGTAAAAATGGAATCGTAGAAGACTCATAGCTAATGTAATTTTGGGAATATGTCCATGAAGGAAAAAAACAGAGAAGCAAGAATTTGAGGAAAAGATGACCTCACAAGCCAGTACCTCAAAATTAATACAGAGTAGTCTCAGAGAGTTCTTAGGCATTCCCTGGAGTTTGGAAGTAATTTTAAAAGTTCTGCAAACCTAAAAAAAAAAAAAATTATTCTCTCTCTTGGTCATAAATGTTGTCAATTACACACACATAGCAGTAAAATTTCCACCTGCATAAATATCATATCCAAATATTTCTGTTGACAGTATTTTACATTTTGTAGCCCCTTGTGCATGAGGTTCCAAATACAGTCTAGAAACATCAACAAAATTAAACTCTGCGTAACAGGTGTATCTATTTCAGCAAGAGGCATTTTATATAGTAACATAATTATTAGTTCTCTTGACACTGATTGCATTTTTAAAGATTAAAAATATGCAATGTACCATTTTAGACCAAGTACTGAAATAGATAAAAATCAATGGAGCTCAAACTTTTAGATCTGTGAGCCAGGTGCTTGTAACCCAGCTGCACTTTGGCCACCACTCACTCACCTCTGGTAGGGCAGGGGGAGATGGCTGCCAATGTCAGAGGGAGAAAAGAAGAGAGCTTTCCTTTAGTAAATAGTACCTGTCATTAAGGAGGAAAAGGTGGGAAAAAGGGAGGGAGAGAGTACATAGTGCTTGCCCTAGAGGAGGAGAGAGGATCTGCAGCACAGCAAAGGGCAGGGGAAGAGACTTGCCAGGCCAAACTGTTTGCCACCGATCCCCCCCATTGTGAGGTGGATCCAGTCATCCTGGGCGCTAGGTCCAGCCCACAGGGCACAGATTGAGCATATCACTGGACTACACAGTAGAGGCTTCAGAAGACTGAAGATATTTGGGAAAAATCTCTGTCCTAAACCCTTGGTTTTATAGCACATGCATTATTGGCTATTAAATAAACATATCCTATAAACAAAGATTTCATTTAGAAAAAGCCATTGCTTAGTTAAATGTAACATTAGAAAGTGCAAACAACAGAAAACTTAATACTTCAAAAATGACTGATTTAAACACTGCTGTATAAAGGCTTTCAAGTTATAAAAATACCAAGGAATAACCAGTCCAACACTCACAATTTTGCTTCTCAAAGGCACACAGGATTTGCCTAACAATGAGAAAGTTCTTGTGAAAATAGAATTCATTCTATTTCAGGTCTGTGCAATGAACCATATGCAGCCTTCAAGTGGTTAACAGCCCAAGAGAAGCAACTGTCGCTGCCACTGCTGCACAGCAGAGGAGGACCTGAGGAGGGGAACGTGCCACTGGCACAGCCCATACAGCAAGCAGGATCCACCAGTGTTGCCTGGGAGGCTGGGCTGTGTACTGCCAGTGCTGCCCACACAGCAGAAGGACCTTTGTGCTACAGGTGTAGCCTATGTGACATGGACAGATCCCTGGAGGCCGATCCCTGAAGCACATGGCCTGGCCAGGGTGCAACACAGGGCTAAATGCCAGTGAATAAGTTAGCCCTAATCTATCTCATGACTGTTTTTCAGCAGTCAGAATGGTATACCGATGCCTTCCTAATGTTAGCAAAAGTAGATTGGTTCATGTAGGTAGTAGTGGTAGTATGATTTAAATGAGAATAAAGCATCAGTTGTTAAAAGCTTGTTTAAATCTGTCAGACAAGTCTGAATCTTGCTAATCTAGTTCACAGATAAAAATAAGTAAGTAAATAAAGTAAAATCCATTTAATCAATATAATCCTGCCAAGATCTTAAAAAATCCTTACTTGCATTAAAACGAATAGCCATAAAAGGGAAAGGATTCAGAGAAAAAACACTATGGTTTTCATTTGAATTAAGTGCAATGGATTCAAATGAAAAATCCTACTTTCATTAGCAAAATCATGATCAGCTGTGCATATGGTAAGCATGCATACAAACAGTTTTACAAGACATTCCTAGGCAAACCAATTTTTAATTCTCAAGTCAACTAAAATTAAAGTTCTACAGAAATACCTATTGTGTTTGCTAATTTCATGAAATTATGGCAAATTTCTGCCATCAGTGTGTTTTGTTCTTTAGTTTTCTCCTGGAAAAGCAAAATAGTAAAAGGAAAGTTATGATTTCCTATGTATATGATTATAATTAAATATTACATGTACCTAAATATGTAATTGGCAAGATATTAGTAATTAATTACTCAAGTTTGTTTTCCTTTAGACATCACAGGAAGTTTTATTTTAGGGTGGATGATAAACAAGTAACAGAAACAATTCACTCTGTACATCTTTAGCATTCAATAACTGCCTTTCCCATTATGTACAAACCCACATATTAAAAGAGGATTTGTGTGTGTGTGTGTGTGTGTGTGTGTGTGTAGGGGGGAGTACAAAAAGCTAAACCATTAATATAGCATACTTACCATTGTATAATTCCAATATAGTACTATTATAGCGTGACAAAACAGAAAGAGAACAGAGATTGTGCAGGAAGAAAAACAATAGTTCAACAACATAATTTAAGGACAACTGGCCAACTGCAGCATCTAAGCCACATAATGTGGCACTCCCACTAAAGTATTACTTTATCTGTGGGTTTTCAAGGTTTCATACAAGATGGTTTGTAATATTTAAATAAAAACCAGTTGTATCCACCGGTTGTCTTTTTTTTTTTTTTTTTTTTTTTTTTTTAAACAGAAATTGCATAAACAGGCTTAATATTCTGAAGAAGACTGATGTAGCTATAAACCTCAAGTAAATACATGCTTAAGGAAGTTTTAAAATACACATTGCCTGTCAGAACCAAAATGGCCTAATGTAGATTTAGGTTTTTTTAAGCAGAGCCACTCCAAATGCCCAGTGTATGCTTACTAGGCATTTTGGTCCACATCCTTAATAGGCACACTACAAAAGTAGTACATTTATCTAAAAGTGATATTAAGTATAAAAGCAATATGTATATCTTACCATTAAATCACAATGGGCTTAGTACCCAATTATGGCAACCCCCTGTTGTTGCTGTAAGTGCCACAACTTTCTTAAAAAACAAAACAAACAAACAAAAAAAAACAACCCACAAGTCTTAATTAATGTTGAAAATGTTCATGCTCTATATCTGTCCAAAAGTGAATCACTGTTGCTGAAAGTCTGAACAGAATCCTTCAGATTGCTTTAATTCTGGGGGAAGGGTATGTTTTGCCATACGTAAAAACAAAACAAAATACCCCTTTGCTCCGCAATACTTAACTAAAATGCTGCTAGTCTGTATGTACCTTTCACGAAGGACAATGTCCATAAACAAGTATGAGAAACAAGAGTATGTGAATGATGTTATTATCAGCAACTAAAAATAAGCTACTAAGCATGCACAATAGAAGATATCAGTAAGGTTGTGCAACAAAAAGAAAAACTTTCCTGTATCCTTGTGAGAAGGCATTTAGTAGAACTTGCAGATTCGCTGGAATCTGACAAGCCCTGAACTGTGTGCATCTTCTTTCAAAAGTGCACACTTTTAAGAAGTCAGTATTAACAATATGTATTAATCAGTTGTAAAATATTAACCTTTAAGACTTGATAATGAAAAAAACATCCTTATCCAAGGGACCTAAGAAAGGTGCTTGGTATCCAAAAGCTTGTCTATATTTTTCCCAAATAAATGTGTGGTCAAGTAAGATATGCCACCCCCCAAAAAAGTCCTTGCCTCTTGCATCCTTATCCAAGTAATTTTTACTGGTGTGACTAGTTCAATCTAAGGCTCTGGTCCTGCAAAGCCATACATAATTAGCCCCTTTGTAGTAACCCCCCACCAACTACTGCTATTCTCTTGTAGGCCTAATAAATGGACCTACTTGGGGTAGGTTGATAGTACTTGGATTAAGGGTGGGATCACAAAAGGTCTATACACTGTTGAAACTCCATTTCAGTGGACCGAGGCCCAAATTCAAAGCACTTATTAACTACATGCTTAACCTGAAACTAGTACATAAACGTCTGACTGCCTAAAGTAGGTCTTAGTGCATAGACACATGGGAAACTAATCACAAAGTAAACCAAGGGCAGGACTTTACTGCACATCAGCTGTTCCACTGTAACTGTCCATAAACATCCTTACCCCACAGTAAATGAAAGCTAACCCGTGGAGTAAGAGCATGAAACCGCACGGTAAGTGACCATGAGTTAACTTTCTTTTACTGTGCGATAAAAGTATTTAATAGATTTAAATAGATCTATAATAGATCTAGATAACAGATTTATTTTTTGTACCTTTTGGTCCAAACTTACTGTGGTTATTTTAAATTGTCTTAAAAATCCATTAAGATCAGCTCCTGCTGAGAAAGGAAAACATTTCAATACTACAATAACCATTTGAATGCAGCATCCCTCAAAAAAGAAATCTAAAATTTCTGTTTTTTTAACCTTGTAAAATATGTTTTTAAAGTGGTGCCTTAGATTTAGAAAAACAAGCAGAGGGTTATGAATAATAAATAACTTTCCAAGTTAAAGGAAGTTTCTTCAGACAAATATTTTTCCATTTCAGCCCAGCTGTAAAACATTACCAGGCTTCTGCATTTCCTTGTCTACATAAAGTAACATATTTTGGTCTGCCAGCTTCATTTTAACAATCATGAACCCATCTAAAAGCATACAATCTTTTATATTATTATGTATGCACAAAAAAGCAGAACTACCTTTCCAAGAAATTAATGTATTTAGTGAAATAAGTTTATTGCAGAAGGAGAGCTTGGCTGCTGTAATTTACCTTTAAATGACAAATCACTAAAGTTGTAAGCTGCACTTTTTCCAATACCTGAATTTTATGGAGATCATTAATACCATCTACCATTGAAGTGGCATGGCTTCTCTCCCCCATGCACTTTGCAGTTCACTGTTTTCCTAATTTGAACTGGCCAACAATTAGTGCATTTATATACAGACTTACAAGTTCAAAGGAAAAAAAAAAACCCTAAGCTCATGTGAATGTGATGATGTTAAAATTAAGGGGAAAAAAAATCTCTGTACTGGTGCTCAAAGCAACTGGGATTAATAATCTTAAGAACCAAAGCTGTTCATCTGAAATATCCTTTTTACAAAGCATATACTTCACAGAGCTACACAAGTACAGTACTATTAAATATTTACCTTTCATAGGTCCTACACTTCAGCTGAATATCTGAACACCCCTACTGGGTCCCACCTATTTACTTTTTAAAATTCAAGCTAATAACAGCAATGAGTTTGCACCAATTGTAAACTGAGAGTTAATCACAGTAGCATCCCAGTTTAGGAAGCCATTTCTGTGGAGGAACTTGTAATGCAAATTTAAACTGGCCTTGTATCCAGTACAAACCTGGACACTGGCAACTACCAAAAAAATGTTATTGTGCAGTGTGTTATGTTTTATGACATTTCTATAAATAGGAAAAGTCCTAGCGAAGGCACAGTTATACTGGCAAAAAAGGATGTGTGTCAATATGGTTTATTTTACGTGGGGAACTAATTTTAAGATACACAAGCAAAAGCACCTCTTTTACTCATAGAAGCTGTACTTACACTAACAGGGGCTTCAGGTAGACACTGAAAAAACTTTACTCATATAGGCCAAGCCATAGAGTAACTTAATCGAAAGGTAACTGAGCCCTGGCAGCAGATAACAGCCGAAAAATGATCTACATTCAGTAGCAGAAGTAGGTAAAACCAGTACCTGGGAATCAGTTCTGCAAAACAGCAAGAGCAAAGACAGGGCAAGAAACATCTGTGAACAGGCAATGGGAGCACAGCAGAAAGGCATTGATGCAGGGGAGGTAGCTTCAGCCAAGCTGGCAGTGAGGTGGAACCACAAAGGATACAATATGGCCACTGCTCTGAGGTGGATAAAACAATATCTAGAAATTATGTAATGATCAAGGCCTGAATGAATCCAGTTCCTCGTCTCAATACTGTTTATATGAAGTTCTTAGAGCGACTGCTTCAAAAACATGCCATCTATATTGATACATTTGTATTTGACTCAAAACTAGTGTTAATTTCTCTTGCTTGCCAGAAATCATGGCATCCCATTATTTGTTGGGCTAGATATCTTGTAGTTTGGATGAAGTGTCACCTGCCACTAACCAAACTCCACATACAGTCTAACAGGCAACACCACTGCATATTGCTCACATATCACCCACGCAGCTACCAGCACAACACAAGCACCCTTTGAGATTTCCATTACAGTTGAAGTTTAAATGGAAAATGCCAGTTTAAGTCTTTAATTAACTGAAAAATATACAATGTTTTTTAAACCAAGACTTCATTTTTTTATTATGTAAACTTCAGGAGCCTTTTGATTACTTGAGTATTTTCAGGCAACTGGAGGCTCTCTACTCACAGCCAGTTGTTGAATTTTTTTGTGTTGATTTCATTCTCAACTGTCTTTTGGAGGTCAGATCAGCAATAAGCAAGTAAGTGAAAGTTTTCATAGTATTTTAAGCATTTACCTTATTTTCCCCAGTAAGACATCTGTTTCCATGGAAAGAGAAGCAGAAACAGGCTGAACAGCCAGAAGCTTTTCAATTTCAGTTGCTAGCTGCATTCCCCAGTTCCGCTCCTGTTTCCATGACAACTGATGTAGCATCAGGAAAAACAAATGTACGGCATAAACAACAGCTGAGGGCAGAAAAAGCTACTTTGGGAAAAATGACCTTTGTACTTTAAAATGTAAGTAAACTTAAGTTACTAAGTTAGAGTCATGGTCCCAGACTTCAAACAAGTAGTCCTTCACTTCATTAGGGATATTCCCAAAAGTATGGCTTGAAGTACTGGATCCTTAATTCATAGAAGAAGCATGTGAAGACTCATCATTAGTCAGCAACATTTTTTTCATATTTTTCTATACACCTGTGAGACGCACATGCATGCGCTCCTGTACACATATTTATCATCCATATGCTAACGTGGGCCAGGATACATTAATAAATGAGCATGTCCCAGCATTAAAAACAACACTATTTCTCTCCTTCACTGTTCCTTCCAAGCAAATTTATGCTTCAGCTGCCAAACACAAAAAACAAAGTAAATACTAGTGTTTTGCACTACCCAATAATGGTTAAAGCCATTGGCTTGGGAGCAACCAATGATAGGCTGCTGATAGAATAAGACAAGTTTACTTTAATCAAATCTTCACTGTATTTTGAGATGTGGGGCACATCCCCTACCCATGCACCATCCATTACCCATTCTCCTCAATTGTGCAGAGTTCTTGGTCCCAACACCTGGTTCCCAATCTCTCATGAACTACTCTTAACAGGCTTGTTTTACTATGCATGAGCAGGAGGGGCCATCAGAAGGCATAGACCCTCAAGATCATATTACAGAGATGACTCTCTCAGTCAGGCACCCCACAGTCTTTGTCCCTAGAAAGTGCCTTGAATGCAATTTTGACAGAAAGTATCTCTGTCCCAAAGACAATTCCCTTCCCCCTGCTCTGTCCCCGCCCCTCAAGTCCTTTATATGACAGCTGCTGTCTGTGTTGCAGAAACAGACACTGAGAAAAAATACAATCAAGTGCCCCAGGTGCATCCAAAACTAAACAGTATTTGGTTACACTCAGCTCAGTGTTGGGATATGCAGAAGATGGAAGACATCAAAACAGTTCCCCAAAATGATGTAGAAACTTACAGGTTACCAAGCAAGTACAAAAGGTCAGGATTTCATAACAAAGTTACAGGAAAATATGACTAAATATAAACATATGACTAAAATAAGGACCAAAATCCATAAGCATCTGATCTGATTATAGCGTTGACACAATTTTTTCTAGTTGAAGTGTGGCTATTTAATATAGTAGCATCTTAATATGCAATCAAGACAACTAATTACAAATAAAACAGGCATATTACCTTAGTGACTTGTTCATATGTGTATTGGGTCTTTCTACTTTTTACACCCAAGTAAAACAAAATTCTGCTTTATTTTACATTACAGTTTGGGGTTGTGTTTTTAAGGACATAAGAGTTCATTTGGTCAGCTAATCCTGGCAGCCACAACATGGTAAGAAGCCATTCAAGAGTGATTCAAAAGATGCTTGGGAAAAAAAAGCTAAGGATTTGTATA